TATGTCTGTGCACCACATGTGTGCCTGGTACCCGCAGAGGTCGTAAGAGGGTATTGGATCCCCCTGAGACTGGATTATGGATAGTTTTGAACCACCATGTGAATGCTGAGAATTGAACGAGCGTTTTCTGAAGGGCAGCAAGTGTTCTTATGTGTTGAGCCATCTCCCTATCCCCTCTGATAATTCTTATCTAATTCACACATAAAAGGAAAAGCAGCAAAAACTCCTTTGATTATAGAGTACATAGCGTTGGTAGCTCTTCACTCGCAGGCTATTGGGGAATGTGTTCCAAGCTGAAACCTCAGACTGGGAATCAACCCCTCCCTGCCATCGTGGGAGCATTTCCCGGAGTGGAGCAGGTAAACAAGCACTCTTTCTGTGTCACAAACCCCTGTGAGATAGCACAGTGAGATAACATTATTAAGAGCAAGAAGGTTTAGGTGTATGTGTACTTTGTTCTTTAAGACTTAGGGCCTCAGGCATGCTAGGCTCTACCACTGATTATATTTGTGTGTGTGTGTGTGTGTGTGTGTGTGTGTGTGTGTGTGTGTGTGTGTGCTTTCAGTCACTGTAACGAAATAAATGAAAACATAAACTTTAGCTCACAGTTTCAGTCTGTGGTTGCTTGAGGCCTGTGGTAGGACAACACGTTGTGATGAGAAAACACGTAAGGAAACGGATCATTTCCTGGTGGCCAGGAAGCAAAGAGAAGAGGAGGGGAATAGAGTCACAGTATCCTCTTGAAGGGCACATCCTATCTCAGTTACTTTTCTATTGCTGTGACAAACACCGTGATATTAGCAAAGAACGTATTTAATTGGGTGTATGGTTCCAGGGGGTTAGAGTCCATGATCATCATGGCGGGGAGCACGGCAGCAGGAAGGCAGGCCTGATGCTGGAGCAGTAGCTGAGAGCTTATGTTTGATCCACATGCAACAGGTGGGAGGCAGAGACAAAGAGCTAACTGGGAATGACTTGGTCTTTTGAAACCCCCAAGTCTGCCTCTAGTGACACACCTCCTCCAACAGGCCACACCTAATCCTTCCCAAACAATTCTACCAACTGGGGACCAAACATTCAAATATATGAGCTCGTGGGACCCATTCTCATTCAAACCACCACAACTCACAATGATCTAATTAATTTCCTTCCACTAAGCCCCACTATCTGAAAGCTAGGTACCTTCTAGTCATGCCAAAACTTGGGGCCAAGTCTTCAATACATGGGTATTTGGGGGCCATTCAAGATCCAAATTATAGAGCTTCATTATTTTAGTATATAATTATATTTTGACTTTAAAAACCAACTTGTCAAGGTATAACTTAAATGATTTTAAAAACATTTTAAAATATTTTTATTGAAAAATATATACATGGAAATAACAGTCACTTCAGTCAAAAGGATATTTCCATGTCTTCCAAAAGTTCCCTGTATATCTTTCCAGTCATTGCCCTCCTAGCCAACTGTGCCTCAGATAGCCACTGACCTAGCTCATAAGTGAGTTGTTTTCCAAATCGTCTTTCAAATCACATTGTGTATTCTTTTACCATCTGACTTCTTTCATTCAACATGTTTCTATGACTGCTGTGTTGAAGCATTTATTACTGGTTTGTTTCTTTTGCTTGCCAAGTGGTATTGCTGTATGGACATACCACAATTTGTTTAACTACTCATCTGTTGATGGGTAATTGGGTTGTTTCCAAGTTTTTTCTGTTATGAATAAACCACTATGATCATTCATGTATAAGCCTTGTTTTGAACTTATGTCTTGTTATGAACATGCTTTTCATTTTTCTTCCGTTATCTGATAAGAACGTCTTAGCTTTGTAAGAATCTTCTGAACTATTTTCTAAGGTGCCTGTACACCCATCTTTTGAAGGACTCTTATTAGTTAGTAATAGCCAATCATAGTTAAGACTGTCTTCCCTGATTTGTCACAGACAATCTATATCAAAGAAATAGTTTATAAAAGAGAAGTCATTTCCCACTTGCAAAGTGTTTATGTGTACTTCAGATGGTAGCACATCCCCAGTGACAGTCTCTTCTTGATTCTGTGGAAATCTTTTTCCTCATGTGGAGGTGGGAAAGAAATTCTTTCCCTCTTTGGAGCAGCAGGTAAAGGGAGACAAATCCCCTGGTTGGTGAGCCAAAAATGGGTAAAGGATTTTTCTCTTAAGGGGTACTGTTAAATGGAAATATACACGAGTGTGAATTACAATTTTCTTTTAGCTTGGCTCTATAGCTCCTCATGTTCAAATGCTATTTCTACCATTTTCTGGGTGTACCTTCAGCAAATATCCTCCAAGCTTCATTTTGTCATCTGTAACCAGGGGAGACCACAGTACTCTATGGATTTCTATGCAGATTAACTGTAGAATGATCAGCAGGTTTCAGAACGTAATGAAGTGTATGAGTGTATGCCTGCATGCATGTATATGTATGTGTACTGCATGCATGCCTGGTGCCCATGGAGGTCAGAATGGTGTCAGGTCCCCCAGAACTGAAGTCATAGATGGTTGTGAGTTGCTGTGTAGGTGCAGGGAACTGAACTCAGGTTCTCTGCAAGAGCAGCAAGTGCTCTGATCTGTGAAGCAATCTGTCCAGCCCCTAGATGAAAACTTTAAAAAAATACAAATCATTCTTCAGACAGGGATTGTCTATAGTTTCCTACTTTTCCTCTTTGGCTTTGGGGTTGTGGGCATTACAGTCAGGGTATTGTGCATGCCAGGATAGGCAAGTACTCTACCACTGACCTCCATGCCCAGCCTGTGGTTTCCTTTAAATGGAGTTTCTTAAAAATCTGGTTGAAGGCTGGGTGGTGGTGGCGCACACCTTTAATCCCAGCACTCAGGAGGCAGAGCCAGGCGGTCTCTGTGAGTTTGAGGCCAGCCTGGTCTACAGGTCGAGCTCCAGGACAGGCACCAAAACTGCAGAGAGAAACCTTGTCTCGAAAAACAAAAACAAACAAACAAAGAAACAAAAACAACAGCAACAAAAAAAACTGGTTGAAAATGACACTCAGTAAATTGTCACTTAGTATCATGTATTGCCAAATTATGAATTCAATGAATCCTATTTAACACCAAGTATTCACTAGAACACAGATATGCAAAGAACACAGTCTTCACCATCAGTGACCCCACAACATCCAAGGCAGGAAACGGAGGGGAGGGCCTAGTGTAACAGTGATGAAGTAAAGCCACAGAGAAGAGCAACTTTTCCTAAGAAGCCTAAACCAAAGACGCCTTAGAAACTGAGTTTATAAACTAAAATCCTTGTAATTTTCATAGCTCCTTAGCTTCTTTTAAAATACATATCCACAAACAGGAAAAAAAATCCACACCTAAAATAGGATTTTAGAAATTAGGTGGCATAGATTTGCATTCTGAGTGGTTAGTAGTAGCCTTTATTTCTGCCACATAAAAGATACTGCTGTTTTCCTCTTGAAGAGATCGCCTTTTTTCTGAGTTGGGCTTTGTTTTTAGTTTAGTAGTTTGTACTGATCTGACAAAAAACACAAAAGTCAGTTTATTTCAAAGGTCTGAAATGCAAAATGTATACTTACATACAAAATGTACTAAGAGGTTTTACTCCTAAGTGAAAGGCTAAAAATTAATACAAAGAAGCGAATAAAAGATAAAATTAGAACTGGAAAGATAACTTAGTTGTTAAGAGCACTTGCTGCTCTTGCATAGGACCTGGGTTCAGTTCCCAGCACCCACATGGTGGCTCATAATTGTATTATACATTAGATAGTACGATCTACTATACCATACTCCAGTTCCAGGGAATCTGATGCCTTCATCCAGCCTCCAAAGGTATGGACATAGTGCACATCCATGCAGGCAAAACACGCATACACATAAAATAAATAGGTCTAAAAATTAATATGAAGATGAAAAGTGAAACTCAGGGCTTGGGATGTAGATCAGCAGTAGAGGACTTTTGAGTAAGGCCCTGGGTTCATCTCCAAGTGCCACTAAAAATAAAAATGGTACTAAAAATAAAAATGATAAAACTATTTATAATGATGCTTTTCTTCATAACGGAAAAAACAGTAAAGATCTATGCACAGACAAGCTGTCTTAGGTACAGGTGCCTGCTGGTAAGCCTGACAACCGAGTCCAGTCCCCAGGACCTGCACAGTATACAGAGAGAATAACCCCATGTAGGGCAGCAGAGGGCAGTTCTCTTCCAGTGCCTCACCAAAGCCCCCTCTGTTCTGCCTCCTGCTGCTGTTGCCCTCTGGCCTATGAGAAGAGTCAAGAGAAGAAGCCACAAGCAACCCCTCCCTCCACTTCCATTCCCCTCTTTATGGGCAACTTCACCTCTTCTGTTGCCACAGTAGAAATAACGAGACGAGTGTTCAGAGTAAGGTATTAAAACTTTCTGAAGGTGCCATGTCTACCGTTTAAAGCTACAGCCTTAGCAGATTGCAGACTCACCTTTCGGTCATCCGACAGGCTTCTCCAGCGACTGTGACTTTTTCTGTTTTACTTGTCTTCTGTGCATTCCCCCTGAGAAAGGGGGAGACAGATGAGGTACCAGGTCGAGGAGATTAGAAGAGGATTTGACAGGAGGAGAGAGAGCCAGGAGGGACAAGGAGCCAGAGGGAGGGAGAGTGGAAGAGATATCATTGGAGGGAAGTAGGAGAGAGGAGGGCCAAAGACGAGAGAGAAGGGCACACAAGGAGAAAACTTAATTGGGTCTCAATTCCAACGATGTCCTAAGCACCTCGCCCAGGGTCTCTGTTCTGTCCACTGGAGCTCACTGGTGGTTCACAAACCTGGTCCCTCGGGGGCCTTCCTCCCTTGTCCTTTTAGTTCCGGTTTCACAAGCAGGGGATGAACGTGGCCGCTTTTAGAGTCTGATTTGTAATATTGAACAGGACAATGAAAACAGAAGCAGGCGGGTGGGAAGGAAACTGAGTATTTCATATATGATTTCCCTCTCATTTCTCAAACCTTTATCTTTGGTCTCTCTTTTTTTTTTCCATCTAGGAAAAATACTGTGGCATCATAGAAAAGTCTGGGCTCTCTACAAAGAAATCAGAAAAGGCTGGGGAGAATGAAGCCTTGAAAGGTAAGAAATGAAAAGTCAAGAAAGGAGAGAGATGGACTCGGGTCCGGAGCGACAGGTCTAGCTTGGGATCTGCCCTGTCATTCCCTGGCCTTGCTTATAGAAACAGTGCATTTGAAAGTGCCACTTTCCATAAAACTTTGTGCAGGAAGAAGAGAATGTAACCCCTTTCCACTGCAGAGGTGTATGGGAGGTGAATCAGATGTCTCTGTCCTCAACTAGCACTTCCTGGGAGCTGGGAGCGTGAGAATCAGACAACTTTGCACCACGATTTATTTTCCTTCTTTGGGCAGCACTATTATTCTGGCCTTACCTAGAAATGAGTATTACAGACACAATTTCGTGCAGCCTGAATTTAATAGCGTGGAGGTTTAGGGTGTGGTAGTCTTTGCTTTCCTGAGGTAAAGAGTATTCACAAGTGGTAAGAATGTGTGGGAGGGAAACACTAGTCAGAGGAGGGTGAAAAGGGGGAAAGAGATGCTCATCAGGGGGAAGACTGAAAAGCTGTACAAGCCTGCGAGAGGATGATGGGAGGACAGGGAGAGGAGAGGAGAAGGGAAGAAAACAAACAGGAAAACAGTTAATGCCACGCTGTGCACTGTGCCGTGCCTGGGATTCAGCAAGCTCCAAGTGGACTTGTGCTACTCCTCTGCGATGACCGTGGCTAGTCCCCAGTGTCCAAGACACCCACCCCACGTTGCCTGCTAGCCTTCCAGAAACGGGCTGTCAGCAGCCCCAAATTGCCAGCCTTTAGAAGAGTAACTGTCAAAATGCCCTCCTCAGCCCAACGACCCAGCCACACACACAGAGACAGGGTAAATGGCGTACTCATGTCACACAGGAAGGACCGTTAGAACCAAAGCCTGGGGCTCTGACTTAACATCAGTGGGCAATTGCCTCTCTTCGGCATCCTCCATATTCTCCCCCAAACTGTCATTCTTGTTCTTTGTCTCTGTTGTTCCTACACATCGATAGAATAATTCTCTGTGTGTGAGCACACACATGTGTGGTGGGTGTACATGTATGTGTGCACCTGTACACGTGTGGAGGCCAGAGGACAACCTTAGGTGTCTCCTCAGGACCCGTCCATCTTGGTTTCTGAGACATGGTTTCTCAGGGCCTGGGGCTTACAGACTCAGCTAAGCTGATCAGTGGCCCTCTAGGGTCCTCTGGTCTCTGCATAGTGCTGGTATTAGTAGTGTGCACTGCTATGCCCGGCTCTTTATGTGGGTTCTGGGGGTTGAACTCACATCCTCACGCTTCAGCCCTTCAGTGCTGACCTACCTATCTCTCCAGACCCCTCAATAAATCATCATTGTCACCGTCATCCCACCATCATTGGTAGTACACACTAACTGTATAGAATATGTAAGGGACTCTTTCTGACTACATATACACATCCTTGTTCGAATTCTGACTGCTTCTTACCTGTTCAAGACCATTTGGCACCCTCCACCTTGACTGACAGAGAGCTTCCTACCTGGCCTCTCTGTACCCAGCATCCTCTAGCTTCTCAGAGATTCAGTCAGTAGAGAACCGTTTTAAAACACAACAACAACTTTACCACTTCTCTGTCATTCAGTGGCTTCTCTTTGGCTAACACACAGTATTATGGCAGGTAACCTGCCTGCTATTTCTATCTAGCCTCTCCTGAGTCTGCCAAAGTGCTTCATATAGAGTACATAAGCATTACATGCTTGTGCAGTTGCAAACAAAATTGAGTTTGTACCAGAAGACGTAGTAGCGGAAATACTAGTCACATGTAAGATGAAGACAACTATATTAGTGCCCTGCATGAACTAGACACATCCATAGATGGCTAACGAATCCCTCGTACATTGCACTACCTCTATCTCTATGTTTAGTGACAGGTTAGTCATGATTATTAGCAGTCGGGCTGCCATTAGATGGAGCTTTGCCTTTAGCAAACAAGACAGTGTTTACTTTTACTGGGTAACTCTGGAGTTTTAGTTTGGCTCCTTTATAAAATATAGTTTGCAGTAGAAGTTGATAGGTAAAAAGTCTACAAACTAAAAGGTGTATCTTGTATTTTCTTTTTTAAAAGATTTATTTTTAATCATGTATATATATGTGTGCATGTCTGTGAAGGTATATACCATTTATGTGTGGGTGCCCATGGAGGCCAGAGGTGTCAGAGCTCCTATAGCTTGAGTCACAGACGGTTGTGAGCTGGCTAACCTGGGAGCTGGGAATCAACTGGGATCCTCTAAGAGAGTAATACACGTTGGTAACTACTGAGTCATCTCTCCAGCCCCTGTCTTGCATTTTCTTTATAGAAGTACATTTCTCTACAGTGTTCTCAGGTTCAACACTGTAGATTGGAATGCGGACCCCACGTTGTGGTGAAGCTCAACTGGTGTTTTGGATACTGATACCAATGAGAATATATAAAGACAAATCTCATTTGTGTAAAACTCTATACTATATTGGGCTGGAGAGGTTGCTCAGTGGTTAGAACACTGGCTGCTCTTTCCAGAGGATCTGGGTTCAGTTCCCAGCACTCACTTGATGGATAGCAACTGTTACTCCAGTTCCAGGGCATCTGATACCCAAATATGCATGCAGACAAAATACTCATACATATAAAATAAAATAAATCTTTTAAAAATGTTCTATCTACCCTATAATCTTCTTTTCCTTTCTTTTCTTTCCCTTTTTTTTTGTAGGACTCTTAAGTATGACCACAAATGTCTTCAGATAGTCTGTTTTTTTTGTATTATTTTTCCTCTCCACTTAAATCAAGTTAAATATTCCTCTGTGTTCTTTCCAGCATATTCTTTTCTGAGTGTGACATAGCTGAGGCTTATTCCAGCTCACGGGTTAGAGTGGTTTAGAGTCAGTAGTCAGCAGAGGGCAAGGCTTCCGTGTTGGCCTATTTGACAACCTCCTTGTCCAGGGTTTGTTGTTAGAAGTTAAAGATTCCTTAAGACATGGGGATGTGTTAAGAAGAAATCCCTGTACCCAGACATTAATGTTACTCCATAGTGAGGGTTAGGCTAAAGACATACATGGGAGAGCAGAGGAGCTGAGTGATTTTTAATTTACCAAAAATGTTCCCCATACAGATCTGCAAGGATGGGAGCTCGTCACCTTACTGCGGTGGGCTGGATTCTATCTGTAGAGCTTTCCTTAGAGTAGTTCATGCCTGATTAGACTCAGGGAACTGGGAGGTCAGAGTGACAGACACACCTGGGAGAATCCGAAGATGGGCTTGGAAGTCTCTCTCCAGGGTGGAGTGTTTAGATTGGGAAGGCATCAGAAAGTCCAGCTAGAACCCTTGTTCTACTGCTCTAAGAACCTGGCTGACTCCTCTACTGAAGAGCACAATAAAACATGTCTTGGAATTTGTTCCTTACCTGAATTGTTTGAATCATTCCTTGTACTCCTGTAAAAATAAACAACACGTTTCAAGGAGTTGCCACCGTGACCACAGATATTTAGAAAAGAATGGCTGGGTCTGAGATCACTAGTCATTTTTCAAATGCTTTGTGAGTAGTAATGCACCTTGCTAGCAAGCCTAGGTGTAGTGATTATGCCAAGGTAAGATTGTGTATTCACAGGTTATTCAACACGTAAAAGCCACAAAAGTCAGATTGTAGGTAATAGCATAAAGTCTGCTGGCATCTCCACCTGCCGCTGCTCAGCCTTCCCCTCCTGGAGTGCAAGAGTCTGTTGATTCCGCTGCCCACGTCATTGTAGAGGTGATTATGACTCATGCGAGGGGTCAGGCAGGTACATTGACTTCAGGGTCTACAGTGGGTCTTTCAGGATCTAAACTTAAAGCAGTAGTTCTCTGGAGTTTGCCAAAAAGGAGTCACATATATTCTGCCAATAGGTCAGATGACTTAGATTGAAGGCTGAGGCTAATGATAAAAACTGTCAAGAGACTGGGCAATACAAAGAGAATGTGCCTTACAAAATAGGTACAAATGAAGGCCAATTATCCCGGTCAAAGCAAAGGGTCACAGCAGCACTGTTCTCTTTGTATGTGAGGAGTGTAAATTTTTCAAGACTTGCTACAGTGGAGAAAAGCCTAGTTCCTTCATCTTTATCCCATATGGATTTAAATCGCTTACTTTGCATTTTAAACAGTAGTGACCAGAGAGGCAAAATACTCAGCAAGGCTGTGTTTGGCTTTTTAACACTTTTGCATCCTAAAGCCAACAATTATAAATTAGAAAGTATCCCTGAAATTAATGGTCTTAGGACAGAAAAATAACATGTAGAATATATTCATCAACCTCACCTTCCTGGCTAAATCTTAAAAATAGCCCTGGAATAAAGGTTAGGTGAATTCCATTCGGTCCTTAAAATATTACATCTTTCTTTCATAATTAACATCTCAGATTAGAGGCTAGCTACTAATTATGTTCCTGGTGCAAACAGGCAGCAAAAATATAAATATTTTTATATTTTTATAAATATTTCTGGTATACCAAAAAATATTCCCCATGCAAATATGTCCCCATGGGACAGAGCTCAAGAGCATTATTTAGAATAGCAATTTAGTTTTGTTTTTATTTCCTTATTTATTTCTTCCCAGTAGTTAGTAGATTAATGGCATAGGAAGCTAATGGGTAAAGCCTTAAAGAATTTAAATTTGCTAAATTATAGTATCCTTGCATCTTAAAATTCCATTACTTAGCTGCTTATGTAGGAATTCATATCATTTCTAATGATCATATAGTGAGGCTAACATAACCTAGCACATGCCGAGTGCTTTTCTTCCTGTTGTCTTTGTAAATTTTATTATTAAAAACAACAGCACAAACAAACCAAGGGGGCTGGTGAGATGTCTTCGAGGGTAAAAGCACTTGCTGCTAAGCCTGAAGACCTGTTTGATCCCCAGACCCACGTGGTGGAGGGAGAGAACCAGCTCCCACGAGTCGTCCTCTGACCGCCACACAGGCAGCCTCACACATTCGTTCCCCATCCTACCCCCACTAGTGAATAAACACAGTGTAAAAATTATTTAAAAATAAAACAAAAAATAATGCTGGGTGTGGTGGTATAGATCCTTGATCCAGAGACAGAGGTAGGTGGATCTTTCTTGAGTTCAGAGCTACATGGTCTACACAGCAAGTTCCAAGTTAGTCAAGTGTCTTAGGGTTTATTTTGCTGTGAAAAGACACTGTGATCACGGCAACTCTTACAAAGAAAATATTTAATTGGGGTGACTCGCTTACAGTTTCAGAGGTTCAGTCGATTATCATGGCAGGGAGCATGGCGGTGTGCAGGCAGACATGGTGCTGGCTACATCTTGACTTGCAGGCAACAGGAAGTCAACTGAGACACTGGGTGGTATCCTGAGCATAGGAAATCCCAAAATCTGTCCCCACGGTGACACACTTCCTCTAACAAGGCCATACCCACTCCCAACAAAGTCACACCTCCTAATAGTACCTCCCCTCCCGTTGAGATTATGGGGCCAATTATATTCAAACCACCACACCAGGATTACATAGTGGGACCCAATCTCAAACCAAACCAAACCAACCAACAAACAAAACTACCAGGACAAAACAGTTGAGGGCTTGGGATGTAGTTCAAGGTAGAGCACTTGCTAACATGTACAAGGCCTTAGGTTCAATCTCCTGAACTGAAGGAAAAAAGCAATTAAGAGCTAATATAGGGACGAGAGAGATGGGTCAGCAGTGTGCATTACTCTTCCTGAGGCCCTGAGGTCGGTGTACAACACTCCAGCTCCAAGGGAGCCAATGCCTTCTGCTAGCCTCCATGGCCGTTGCACTCACATGTGCATAACCCCACACACATACATGCCCAGAATTAACAATGTTTTTTAAAGAGCTAGTCTAATGCTGAGGGAACTTTAGAGCAATTAAATGATTCTTGTGAACGTATAACAAAGGCTACATGCTACATACACTCATCAAAACCTATAAAACTTTATACTATGAAGTATGAACCTTTATGTCATAAAATGTAAACTACAGCCATTTAATAACAACATATCAGCATTGGTACATGGATTATAACATGTCAAGTAAATGAGGAGACTGGGTGTGGAAGGGAAGTGGCAGTGGTTCTAGCTGCTTATTTATTCTATAAATTGAAAGCTGCACCACACAATAAAGCCTGTCAATCAATTGTTCTAGACACGCAACCGTTTTCATGGCAAAAAGGCAGAGAAAAGGGATGCCGATCTAACGGCCTCATGAGGTTAGAATTTAATTTATGGTGTTTGTGGACTATTAGTGGCTGGGAATAATTGTGTCATGAGATGGAGTAAAATAGAAGGGTGTCGTCAGAGTGCCAGGGCCTGACCACTGGTTATTTAGGACAGATCTGCTAAACTGGATGAGTTCATTTCGATCACTGAAGGAAGACACCCAGGGTTTTCTGTTAAGCCCACACTGGTGAATAGCAGTGGGTGCTCTGTTCCCCACCGGCTGGCACTGCTTCTCTCCTGCATCCTGTACCCCTGGCTTCCTTCTCTGTTGCTGACCAATGGTGTCTGTTTCTCTCCCTACTCTTCAGTATCTCTTTCTCCTGGTTATTGTTTGTTTTGTTTTAGGCTTTTCCCCCCTTTTTCCTCCAGCACACCAGGCTTACCAGCCGCCTTTCTGTAGTAAGTCCCAGGCCGAGCTGAGCTACATATTGGGACTTTGTGCTATAAATGAAAACAATTTAAAAGGTTAGGATTGTAGCTTGGTAGCAGAGTGTTTGCTCAGCAAGGAGAGCCTGGTTCAGTCCCCGAGAGTGGTAGACACAATGTGTCAGTGGTCGGGGACACTTATTTGTTCCAGCTGTTTCTCTGCCTCTAATAGGAAGTAGGAAATTTCCTGTGGACGATAATAACCAAAGTGAGCTGTAAGTATGTGTAGCTAGTTCCTAGTCTTGGAGATCCCTACAAGGAGACTTCTGAGTTTGAGTTGACAGTTTTTCCTTTGGGTATAAAATACACACACACACCCCTGTGCCCAAGCTAAACAAACAAATGCAATTGAAAAAAATTAAAAACTCAAATATTTAGTAAAGGTGCTAAGACACCTATACCCCGTATAAATGGAATTGTGAAGTCTTCAAGATGGGAAGCATCCCTCCATGGTCAAGTGCCCTGTTCATATGTGTGAGCCTCTTGGTTCAATCCTCAGCATTCCTTCCCCCAAAATTATCAGTACAAAGTTTAACATTTATAAAGTAGATTCAAACTGCTCTGAGCCCAAAAGAAGCATGGGAAAGCAAAAGTTAATGTTAGTCAAAGCGCTATTCTTTACCAACAAAAATCAGATGGAAGAATAATAAATTATTTTTAACACTGAAATAAGCTAGAAAAAAAAAGAAAATTATATCATTGCCCTAGTTACATAGGGGAGTTCATTTGTTGTTGTTGTTGTTGTTGTTCTTCTTCTTCTTGAAGCAACAAAAGTAATTTTCAGTGACAAAGTGTGATTCATTTGCTTGGTAATATTTACCTGGCCCCGTGTATGCATTAAGAACAAGGGATGAACAGTCAAAATAATCAAGTCCCTGTCATTTGAAGTGCTTTATTCCAGTGGAGGAGGCAGATCATAAACAAACAGGATGCATTGTACCAGCTCAGATGTGCTGTGGTTAAATGTGAGATGGTAGGAGCTACGGACGGAGACCGAGCAGTTATGTGAGGAAGTAGACGAGGAAAAGCGTGGAGGAGCACATTCGGGCAGAGAACTAAATCACCTAGGAAGCTCTGAGCAAACAGAGTTGCAAGCTGCCTAATAATTACAAACATCTGCCAAATAAACCATTTTAAACATACACACGTAATATGCTTATATACATATGAACAAAATGGGGAAAGAAAAATGGATAGTCTTTCTGAGTAACTGATGGAAATTCATAAGATTTCCAATTGAATTATCAAGACAGAAACAGTAATTGACTCCAGAAGACAGACACACACTTGAAAAGTATGCTTTGGGCCTGCAAGATGGCTCAGCCCTATTATTCACTTGCTACCAACCCCAATGACTTACTTCAGTTTGATCCTTGGGACCTACAAGATGGAAGGAGAGAATTTACTCCTACAGTGTCCTCTGACCTCTGTTCATGTGCATACTAACACAGGACAAACAAAGCCATGGAAACAGTTAGAAGAAAAAGTGAGGCAGTCACCAGTTACTCTCCTTGGACGTCTGTCACGCATGTGGTGGGGAGCTTCACTGCAGCCAGGGAATGGACCAGCTGTCCATCCACACAACAGATCATCATCCCTAGACTTGTAGAGATACACATCACAGAAACAGCCCAGAGAGGGAACTCATTTATTGGAACGTAGTGTTTTGTAGTTAAAACCTGCAGGTAGTCCACATGACCATGGACGAAGGGCTAATCAGGAAGCAGTCTGCTTTAGTGCACAGCGGATGTTCACCAGGGAAGTCAGGTGTACAGAGCCGAGCACTTACAAGCTAAAAGAGTAAAGTTCCAAAGACGAAGATACAGTGTGTGTGTGGGGGGTGTTAGTTTACAGCGGGGGGGGGGGGGGGAGCCACAGTTTGAACAGAACTGATGATTAAAGGAATTGATACTTGTTGTAGTTATTGATAGATACTGATTTTCTGTTTCAAAAGATTCCTTTTGTTTATTTTTTAAATTATGTATATGTGGGGGGAAGGGAGAGGGTTTGTGTACATGTGAATGCAGTTACCCTCAGAGTCTAGGAGAAGGCACTGGACAAGGTCTCACTATGTAGCCCTGGCTAGCCTCTATAGACCAGGCTGGCTACGAACTCACAAAGATCTGCATGTGTCTGTTTCCCACATGCAGATATGAAAGGTGTGCACTACTGTGCCTGGCAATTAAAAATGTTATTACACTTTTTATATTTCTTTATTACAGAACTTCTTATAGAGTATACATATATATTAATGGAAACATTCTTAATTTGTTTTCAATTTTAAGTAGAACACATCTAGAATTAACTTTTTAAATTAAGTTTTATTATTATTACTGTGTGTATATATGATGTGTGTGTGAGAGTATAAGATGTATGTATGAGTGTGGGCACACTTGTGCCACAGTGTGTGTGTGTATGTGTGTGTGTGTGTGAGAGAGAGAGAGAGAGAGAGAGAGAGAGAGGACACTTGCATCGTTGCTCTGGGAATCTAACTCAGGCTATCAGGCTTGGACAGCAAGCGCTTTTATTTGCTGAACCATCTCACTGACCCTAGAATTTCCTTATTTTAAAAAAATTATTAAGTGTAGTGGTGTTGCCTGTGGTCCTAACACTTAGGGCTGAGGTAGAAAGATCATAAAGTTCAAGACCAGCATGAGCTACCTTGTGAATTCGAGACCAGCCTGGGCTGTGTAGTAAGACTCAAAACAAAAACAAACGGGCTGTGTTTGAAGTAAGTAGCTTTATCGTGACACTGGGACACTCACTATCACATGGATGTTTTCTGTTACCAAGAATATAAATTTTCCAGTGTGGCCAAAATGTCGTGACCATTCTGCTCTCTGTTTGTGTGGCTAGTACTAAGCTTCCTCAGTTCTATACTAAGCTCGCTACGTTTTGCCTACCAAGACTCTAAGATATTAGAGATTTTAATCTTTATTGTCACAAGCAGGACTAACTCCGGGTGATCTTTATTGTGCTGTTTTTGTCTGGCTTAGAAAAAGCAAACTAGAGTTTTAAGAAATAAAAAATATTTTTTATAATTCTACAAGAAAAATGGCATAAACCAAAGATTATTCAGTTAAATAAAAAAAAAAAACTCACAGAGATTTGCCTGCCTCTGCCTCCTGAGTGCTGGGATTAAAGGTATGTGCCACCCTGTCTGGCTTATTTATTTTAAATTTACATGTATGTGTCAGTACCTGCACATATGTATGTACACCATGTGCATGCTTGGTACCACCAGATGCCAGAAGAGGATGTTGGATCTCCTGTAGCTGGATTTATAGGCAGTTATTTACTGCCCAGTGTGGGTGCTAGGAACCAAACCAGGGTCCTCTGTCAGAGCCCTAAGTGCTCTTAACTGCTGAGCCATCTCTCCAGCTCCTAATGTCTCCAAGTTTTACAGGAAAAAATTTTATAGACTTTCTCAATAACATTTTACTATTCTAGATGTGACACTTTTTTGTTTTGTTTTGATTTTGGAGACTGGCTTCTTTCTTTCTTTTCTTTTTCTTTCTTTCTTTTTTTTTTTTTTTTTTTTGGTTTTTCAAGACAGGGTCTCTCTGTGTAGTTTTGGTGCCTGTCCTAGATCTCATGCTGTAGACCAGGCTGTCCTTGAACTCACAGAAATCTGCCTGGCTCTGCCTCCTGAGTGCTGGGATTAAAGGCATGTGCCACCACCACCTGGCAATGTGACACTTAAGTTTTTAGTTTTCCTCTTTTTCAAAAAGTAGCCATTCTAATAGTTTACTACTTTGTCCTTTTTGAAAAAAAAAACAATGAATCTCTTTAAGACTTCAAATTACTTAATAAATTCTGGTTGATTTCATTCCTAAATTAATTTTTCTTATCCTATGTATGTGTGTACGGTATATATAATTTCTTCCCCCACTCTGTGCTGAAGATCAAACCCAGGGCCTTGTGTGTGCTAAGCAAGCAGTCCACCCCTGAGCTCCCTCATTTGTGTTTTTACTAACATAAGTTGTTTGTTTAAGGTAAGGCTGGTCTGGACCTAATGGGCTGAAGGGACTGTCCTGCCTTAGCCTCCAGAGTAGCTGGGACTACAGGTGTGGGCCTTCCAGCCTAATGTAAGCCTTCGATCTGGGCTCTTTCGAGTGTTGCCCTAGAGTGATGGTATTAACGTGCCCCTTTCTGCCACTGCAACATCCACGGACGTTCAGCTTCAGTCAGCACTGCAGCAGAAGGATTAAAATAATGAAAGTAGTTTTTGCATATTTTTGGAAGTACAGAGACGTGTAAGGGATAGAGGCTCTGTAGAAGACAATGTAGATAAGTATAGAGATAAAAATACCCACAATCAGCCGGGTGGTGGTGGCACACACCTTTAATCCCAGCACTCGGGAGGCAGAGCCAGGCGGATTTCTGTGAGTTCGAGGCCAGCCTGATCTACAGAGTGAGTTCCAGGACAGGCACCAAAACTACACAGAGAAACCCTGTCTCGAAAACCAAAACAACAACAATAAAAATACCCACAATCTTTCTAGATGTCAACACCCCAGCTCTAAAATGTGGGTCCTATGCTTCTCTTTATTTCCTAAAATGCATGCTTTTGGCATTCAGCCAACAGTCAGAATAGCAGCCGAGCAACATAAGAAGCTGGTATGGAAATAAAAATTAGCTAAGGCTGACCCAAATATGGATGTCTGAGAGGTTCCTGTATCATTGTTATCAGACTCTATCTGTCTGAGGATCTTCAGAGACAAATGCCTGAGTTACAGGGAAACCAGCATACATCCATTTACATAGTGCACATCCTAGAATTTCCCCATGCTACTGACCTGGATTCTGTAGCCTTGAGATCTGTGTTTGGAAGATCAGTCATCTTTCCTTCCAAGGTTTTATCACACGTTTCTTTGGATATATTTTCCTCACTTTTTACAGGAGTCAAAGTAGTCTGAAAACATTTCTCGCCTTGGAAAGTGAGTGTTAAGTTTGAGATGGTGACATGTTTGGGGGATTCTCTGAGCTGGTTCTTACTTTTCATGTCTTGTAGACACCCATGCTTCAGGACATTTTCCTAGGGAAATGACAAGCAAGAGCAAATCAGATAACGGAAGGACATCGTGCATAGACAGATTGTTTATGAAGTAGTTTCTAGTCATTTCATTCATACTTACTGAGTACTCATAGGTCTGGGGACAGGGAGTAAGGCATGGTGATGCACTGCTGTGAAGAAGAGCCTGGGCTGCTGTGGAGGCTGGTGTCACGGGAACCATGGTAGGCTCTGCTGCAGCCTAATGCCATTCATTCAGAGTCCATACACTAGTGTCACCTCACACAAGATGGTTAATGTTCAGTCACACACTTATCTTTAAGTTACAGGGTAAGGAAGGTTTTTTTGGAATACCTTGCCATCTACTCTCCAGGCAGGTTGCTCTTAGGAACATCTAATAGGCTATGGGGGCTTGGGGCTCATAATATTAATAATTCAATTTTTTCAAGAACTACAGCCTAATCTAAAGTGCAATTCTCTAAAGCCTCTCCTCTGCTTTTAATGGTTTTCCTATTACATACTACCATCTTCCTGTTACATACCACCTCTCCAGGTCTCTCATATCAGAATGTCTCATGTGGGCCTCAGTGCCATCAGTCAGCACACTCTTAACCCTGTGTCCCTGACCTTCCTCACATCTGCTCTTCTTCCTCCATGGCCACCACTGGTCCATTCTAGTGCTGTTGGCCTAGTGTACATGCCTGCAGTTCAGCACAGGGCAAGCTGAAGCTGGAGGATTGCAAAGTCAAGGACCGTCTGGGCTACTAGAGCAAGACCATATCTCAAAAACAACGAACAAACCAAACGCGACCTAGAGCATTTCCTTGGCAATAGAATCTTAGTTCCTAAAGAGAAACCTTCATTTTTTTTCTTATAATGACAGCAATGTGTATTTATTATAGACTATTTAAGACCAGAAAGGAGAGTCTGGTTAAGAACGCCAATTGCTCTTCTAGAGGACACAGGTTCGATTCCCAGCACCCACATGTGGTTCACAACTGTTTGTAATTCCAATCTCTGGAGATCCAATGCTCTTTTCTGGCCTCTGCAGGCCCTGCACACAGGTGGGGTATAGATATACATACAAGCAAAACATCCATACACATTAAAAAAAAAAATCCTCTGAGGAACGAGGTACAAGTTAGGAAATGTCTCCTTGTGTGGTGGCCCTGTCCAGAAACAATGGTTCCTCCCACACACTTATCTCCATCATACTTCCATTGGGGTCACTTTGAAATGGTCACCTACATTTCCATCTGACATTTTATCTTTTTCTTTCCTTTTCTTTTAATGGCACCGTGGGTTGAATCTCAGGCCACACCCACACTGTACTAGTCCTTCACTACTGCACTGTCTCCCTATCCCTTTTTCTACTTTTAACTTTGAGATAGGGTCTCAGCAAGTTCTCAGACTGGCCTAGAGCTCATTCTGTGGTCCACGCAGGCCTTGGACTCACAAGCTTCTGTTACGGGCTCTGGCCACCAGACCTGGCTAATTATCATCAGAATTTCCTGTCATTAAAAACTGTGAAAAACTATTTGAATATTTCCTATTTTAAAAGTACTTACCTATAGCATAGGAAAAAGAATTCTGAAGAGTAAATAAGGTATAAACTGCACATATTTTCTCAACGTAGAGACAAACTGTTATTCACAATACATGTAATTTCTTTTGTATGTGTGTTCAAGTACATGCCCATGTGTGTGCATGTATGTGCATGTGCTTGTGGAGGCCAGAAGTCCACATGGGCATCTTCGCTCTCTACCTCTCCATCTTATGTTTTGAGACACCATTTCTCAATGGGACTTGAGGCTCATCGACCAGGCTAGACTGCCTCCTCAGTGCTGGGATTTCCAGTGTGTGCCACTATGCCTAGCTTTTTATGCAGGTGCTGGGGATCAAACCCAGGTCCTCAGGCTTGCTGCGCAGGCACTTTACTAAAGGAGCCATCTCCCCAGGCCCTATTTTTCTCTCTTAGTGTGTATGCATCAATGGACTTTCATATCTAAGACATTTTTATATTTTTTAACTTAGTTGTATATAATAAACATCTTTTCAGGCCAAGAGACATTTTTTGAATAATTTTAACTAATTCATCTAATAGAGTGTTGCTATGACTTGACGTACTTTGGGAACCCCTGAACAAGATGACTATGTCACTTGCCCTCTGTACTTTTAAGTTTGCTTGGCTGTTCTTGGCAGGAGTTTCCAGTGGTTCTCAACTTGTAGGTTTTGACCCCTCAGGATCAAACAAACCCTTTCACCAGGGTCACATATCAGATATCCTGCATATCAAATATTAAATAGCAACAAAAGTAATTTCATGGTTGGGAGTCACCACAACATGAGGAACTGTATTAAAGGGTCCAGCATTAGGAATGTTGAGAACCACTGGTTTATGCTGGTATCATGCTTTCATTACTTTGCTATTATAGGCATGGTTTAGATATGGGATGAATAATGTCTTCCTTGTGTGTATAGTGCTATGGGCTGAACTCAAGGCCTTGTGTGCACCAAGCACATATGGTATCACTGATACAGCCCCATCCCATGATTCACATCTTTGGAGCTGGACTCTTCATTCCTGTTAGAGGGTATAAATATATATTTTTATTTCATGTGTGTTAGTGTTTTGCCTGCATGTATGTCTGTTTGAGAGTGTTGGATATCCTGGAACTGAAGTTACAGTTGTGAGCTGTCATGTGGATGCTGGGAATTGAACCTGGATCCTCTGGAAGAGCAGCCAGTGTTCTTAACTACTGAGCCACTTCTCCAGCCCTGGGGATAAATATCTTTAAAGTTCTTGGTTCATAATCATTTCAAGAATGTTTGGCCAGTTCTCACCCATACTGCAGATCTCTCCAAGCCCTCATACCTATACTCCCTACCAGTCACTGTTTTTACTCTGTTCATTGTCAGTTACATGGGTGAAATTAGGGAGGGGGCATCAGGTGGGGAAAGAGATGTTGATCAACTGGTATACCACTGTACACCCGGCAAGGAGAAACATGTCTTACCTGTTTCACAGCACAGTGAGTACAGACACAGATAGACAAGAGTTTTTAACTTTTTCTCCAATTGCTCATGAGTGGTTTTTTGTTTTGTTTTGTTTTTTTTTGCGAAATGTCTGTCCTCAATCATCATTTTTTTTTATACCGTGGATTTAGTGGAGATTTTTCACTAGCTGTCTTCAAACTGATCTCTACAAACCATCATGCTACCAGATTAATATATTTTTTAGATATTTTTTATTTTTATTTGTGTGTGCATGCGTGTGTGTGTGTGTGTGTATGTGTGTGTGTGTGTGTGTGTGTGTGTGTGTGTGTGTGTGTGTGTGTGTGCCTGTGCCATGTGTGGGCAGGTGCCTGTGGAGGCTAAAAGGGGCATCACATCCTCAGGAGGTAGAGTTGTAGGCAGTTGTGAGCTGAGGATGTGTGTTGGGAACTGAACTGGAGTCCTCTGGAAGAGCAGGAAGTGCTCTCTGTTGCTGAGCCATCTAGTCAACCCACTACATTGATATGTAAAATGATTGGGTCCTTAATTCAAAGTTTGCTAAGTCCCCACTTCCTAGTGACTTTCATAGTTCTCTGTGTGTGTGTGTTTTCTTTTTGTACTCTCTGATCTTTTCTAAAGTCAGTAACTTTTTTTTTTTTTTTTGGTTTTTTGAGACAGGGTTTCTCTGTGTAGCTTTGGTGCCTTTCCTGAAACTCGCTCTATAGCCCAGGTTGGCCTCGAACTCACAGAGTGCTGGTATTAAAGGCGTGTGCCACCACTGCCCGGCTGTCAGTAACTTTTTTATTTTCTTATTTCTTCCCTCACATTTTTTTATTGAAGGTTCATCCCATCCTCATATTCAAATAAAATAGCCATTATATTATATTAATACTTTCATTTGAGGTTGTTGTGTAGGTTCAGTAATTTAGCCAGTCAGATATGGAATACCCAGAAGGTTAAGATTCCCAGGTCTTCTGATTCTGACCCTGAAGTTCTTTCTGTCACCCCACTGCTCTTGATACTAGGGTAAGTTTGATATAAGGATGGTCACTACTTTGGGGAATATTTTATGACTTATCCTGGGCTCAGGGGGTGAGTCCTTTGCTAAAGTCATGCCAGTCAGAGTTGGTTCCATACCATTTTCTTTCTTTTTTTTAAGGTTTATTTATTTATTATGTATATAATGTTCTGCCTGCGTGTATGCCTGTAGTCCAGAGGGCACCAGATCTCATTACTGATGGTTGTGAGCAACCATGTGGTTGCTGGGAATTGAACTCAGGACTTCTGGAAGAGCAGCCAGTGCTCTTAACTTCTGAGCCATCTCTCCAGCCCTCTACAGCATTTTCATCAACAGTGTTAACTAAGAACTTGGTTACAGCTCCCATGCTTGGTCACTAAAGAGTGAAAGTCTCCTACAACACATACCTTTTCCTCTTGCTTGGCCTTTATTATGTCATCGTTTTCAAACACTATTGTGACCTCTGAGATGTTTGTGGCCTCTTTGGGTTCTTTGACGTCTTCTGTGACTTCTGTGACTTCTGTGACAATTCTTATATCTGGAACATCTCTGGCCCCATTTTCTGGAATATCAGTGACATCTGTGATATCGGTGACATCTGTATATTCTGAGAAGTCTGTGCTTTCGGTGGTGTTAGCAGAGTATATACGAGTGTGTGAGTGCGCGGCCTGCAGCTCTGCAAAAGCTGTGATGTCCATGATATCCATTGAGCTTGTGATGTCTGTGCTGTTTGTGATTTCCGAGAGGCTTGAGACCTCTGATACTCTGGAAGTTCTGGCTTTCTTCTGATTCAAGAGGGTGATGAGGTCCACCCACTGAGAAAATATAATATCCTGTTTATACACAGGAGCACAGAGCTGTAAATAGTAGGCTCGGCCACTTATCAGCTTTACTTTGAGTCGCATGTTCTTAGCACTGTGCACAGAAAGAGTCACAAACTGCAGAGGGAGAAACCTACAAACAAATGCAAATGTAATGTCATCTGAAGACCTAGTTGGAGACTTATAAAAAGACTTTTCCAGCTTGGAGAATTAGACAGTCAGTGGTCTTGTGTCCCAGATAGGTGTGGGCGGGAGCTCCTGAGAACCATCTCATTTTAATCATGCAACTAAGATTCTGATTTTACTAAATGATCAGAAGGTGCCTTATCATGAGAAACTCCCCATCCTAATTAATCCTGAAAAGTTGAGGCTTAGGGCTGGTGAGATGGCTCACCAGGCAAAGGTACCCACAGCCAAGCTTGATGACCTAAGTTCAATCCTTGGCACTCACATGGTAAAGGACAGAGTGATCCCACAAACTTGTCTTCCGACATTGGACTTATGGATGCATATGCATGCATGCACACATATGCACAAATAAAAAAATAAATGTAATCGAAGTTGAGGTTTAAACATCTAGCAGTTCAAATAAAAATTCCATTGAGATGTCATATTATCCCAGTCAGGATGCTCACTATCATTGAGATGTCATATTATCCCAGTTAGGATGCTCCCTGTCATTGAGATGTCATATTATCCCAGTCAGGATGCTCACTATCATTGAGATGTCATATTATCCCAGTCAGGATGCTCACTATCATGAAGACAAAAAGTGCTGATAAGGACACAGGGAGAAAATGGAAAGTATGATATGCTCTTGGTAGGAGGTAAGTTAGCGTAGCCACTATGGAAATCAGCTAAAACTAGAACTATCACATGATCCAGCAACACTGCTCCTGGTTGTGCACACCCAAAGGAATCCAAGTCATCATGCAATGGGGATACCTGTTTACTATGTCTTTCAGGGCACTGGTCACAACAGGCAAGTTATGGAATCAGACCAGGGACCATGAACAGATAGATAGATAGATAGATAGATAGATAGATAGATAGATAGATAGATAGAGGAAAAAAATATATATCCACAAAATGGAGCTTTATTCATTCATAAAGAATAATGAAATGTTACTTGCAGGAAAATGTCTGAAACCAGAGATCACGTTAAGTGAAATAAGCCAGATTCAGAAAGACAAAAGTAACAGTCTTCTCTCATGAGGAATCTGGATGTTTAAAAAGGTGGGGGGGGGGGAAATAAAGCACTTACTATATAAGCCTGATGGCTTGGTTTTGGACTCTCAGAACTCAGTACAAGCATCTACAATTCTAGCTTGCCCTTACTAGGGAAGGGTAGGTGGAGACAGGAAAATCACTGGAAGCTCCTGGACTAGCTAGTTTGGAGTGCACAGCAGTAAATAAGAGAGACCCTGTCTCTAGCAAGGTCGGAAGTTGATGACTGACACCTGAGGTTGTCCTCTGACCTCCTCATGTATGCCATGACACACATGCACCCATGTGTGCACGCACGCGCGCGCGCGCACACACATGCACACAATTACACAAACACAAAAGACATGAAAGTAAAAGGAGACTGTATGGGGTGAAGAAGAGGCCCAATGGGATGGGGTTGGGGACAAGGGAGGGTAAAGAAGGGTGACTATGGTCAAGGTACTTAATACACAGGTATGAAAATGTCATAACAAAACCCATTATTTTGTACAAAAATATGTAGTGATAAAAGTGCTTAAAAATGAGGCTGAAACTAAGCTATTTGCTCCAGATCATAGACCAAGTTAGTGGCTGAGATGAGGCCAAAATAAATTCTGATGGAAGTGAGACTATTGTGGAGAGGGAGAGCATGCTCTTGAGGCTTCAGTCCTCATTACTTTAGGTTTTTTTTTTTGTTTTTTTGTTTTTACTAATTGTCAGCTGTAATAAACCACTTTTTCTGGATGCTGTTAGAGACACCCCTGCATCATTTGAGAAAGCAATACACCTGAAGTGCCCCTTCGGAGCCCTGGCCACCAGCATTTCCACTTTCAGCTTTGTGGGTATATGGTGTTCTCTGAGAGATTACTGTCCTCCTGTCCTGTGACTCACCTGGTGAGCACCACCTTCTCTGCAGAGGGAGATGTCAGGAGGCTTTTAAAGAGGGGTTCTGATTCTTTTCGAGCCTCTGGTGTCAGATGTGCCAACAGCATCACATTGGGGGTCTTGAGGATGGGATTGGAAGAACAGATGCCTACGGTCACCCAGTTCGCTCCGTTATGCAGATAAATAGATTCACCTCTCCTATTGACCTGAATGCAGAGAACAGGAAAGGAGTTTCTTGATAAAAGGCATGGATCTAGCTAGCACCCTTGCTTGCTAGAGCAGTGTAAGGGAGGTCAGAGGACAAGGAGGGAGTGAGCCATGGTCCCTCCATTCCTTGACTTGTTCATGATTTGGAGATAGCAGAATGAATACCCACAGTCTCTGGTTTGTGGGGTCTCCTAGGGAGAACCAGTGCTCGAGACTGTGGTAACTATTAGTCCTTCAGGATGCTATGGAGCATGCGGCTGAGGGATTGACTTAGAAATGTAGCTGATAGTGTGTTAGCACAGTTAGCAGTTAGTCCAAGTGAGTGAGCGCTCTGGGTGTTAAGATGCTTGCTGTCCCCTTCCTCCTCCTTCCCCCAGTCACTTGAATTTCCAGAGTCAGGAATTTTGGAAGCTTGCTGCCAATGACCAACCAGGAAAAACTGGGCATCTTGGAGAGTATGACTGGAATGACATGGGACTGTGGCTAATATGTAGACCACAAACTTTCTCCTCCCCATGTGGGGCCAGGGCTATGCAATTAGAGTGTACAAGAGATAATATGAAAATGGCACAGGAAGAAAGGTGAAAATAAAAGATTACTAGCAGTAAAATGTAGATGAAAGCCAAAATCATTAAATTACGACATCACATGCTCCAGGGCATCATGTGTTCTTGGACATCACTGAAACATGTTCTGGAGACTTCACTCCTCCCCGTGGTACACTGGGCACAGAGAAGTCACACTAGTCATCCGCTATCAGTCAGAGAACACATTCATGAAGCACGAACTCTCCTTATCTTTGAAGTGGCTGTCACCTTCCTTGTCATACTCTATGGGATCAGCTGAGTGTGTTGGCTCCATGTTCAGCATCAGACACTGTCGTGACATTTCTGTGAGGGACAGGCATGGTTCACACTGCTGAGCCCATGTCTTTGCTGGAACAGTCTAATGTTGAGTGTTGAGAAGAAAGCCAGCACCACCCCCAGGGGCTGTGCAGCTTCATTCAGAAAACACGTGCATTCTTACACGAAAGAAGCTTTTGTCTCTGATACTATCTGACAGTTATGTTTCCCTCTGAGAACCAACAGATAAGATTTATTTTCATCCTTAGCACTTCCCAGGTTGTTGTTGATTGACTTGGGCACTAGGGACTGAACCCAGGGCTTTGTGCATGCTAGGCAAGGGCTCTACCTCGGAGCTCATCTCCAGCCTCAGATGTTTGTCTTTAAAATGCAGGTCTAGGGGCTAAAGAGATCGCTCAGCTGTTAAGAACTTGCCGCTCTTATAGAGAATCTGGGTTCAATTACCAGCATCCACATGGTGGCTCACAACCATAGGCACATCCGTGGTGCACAAATGCATGTAGGCAAGCCACTCATATACATAAAATATACAATTTTAAAAATTAAAATAAAACTCTGAGAAAGAAATTATTTGAATACCTTCCTTTGATAGTATGTTCTAAAAATCATTTTGTGTAACAAGATTATGTTAGCATGATAATTATGGTAGATTTTGGACAGAATTCTTGCCTTCGAGTTTGTTGGGAACATCTGAAGTGAATCTTCCTGTAACGTGAATTTTTCAGGCTATTTAAAGTTACAAAACTGTTCCCCTTAACATCACACTGTCCCCTCATCACATTTAAAAAGTTCTCTTCTCAACCTTTCACTGTCTTTGAGAAAATGAAATACGGGAGTTACTAGAACTAATTGAGAGTGCAAGTGTTATTTACCTGAATAAAATTGCTCTCCAGTATGGGAGGAGATACAAAAGAGCCATACTCTCCTGCATCCAATATATTCTTAAGATGCCCCAGATCAGGAGACTGTGGGAGCCAGAGAGAACCTCGCTCATCCACTGACTTCTTCTTCTTCCTCATCATGCTGACATGAACCATCAGAAAAGTGAGAGAATGGAAAACTAATGAATATACAAAGAAGGTCATAGTTACACTGTCTCTTTATGTTGAGTAAGTTTTTTTTTGTTTTTTTTTGTTTTTTTTTTTTTTTTTTTTCTTCGAGACAGGGTTTCTCTGTGTAGCTTTGCGCCTCTCCTGGAACTCACTTGGTAGCCCAGGCTGGCCTCGAACTCACAGAGATCCGCCTGGCTCTGCCTCCCGAGTGCTGGGATTAAAGGTGTGCGCCACCACCGCCCGGCTTGAGTAAGTTTTTAATCCAAGTCTGTAATATGTTTGACTCCACACAGGCATTATAGGCGCATATACATCAGCAATTTATGCTTTAGGGGGGGACAGACAGTAAGCAAGCAAACAGAAAAGTTGTCTGATAGTACAGGCACCAGTCATAAACAGGGATGGGTGTGTGATTGTCAATCCTTACTAGGGTGGGGAGGAAGGTAAGGAGACTTTTCAACACATGCCTTCTGTCCCAAACCATTATTTTCTACCTTTCCAATTAATTACTCATGGAGGGATCTCATGTCCTTTTGTGAAAGGATATCAAAACTGCATTAAACACCTTATACATGACTGAGCCTTAGCTTTTGTTAGGGAGGAAAATGGGATAGCTATCTAATCAATGACAGTTCACTCCCTGCTACATAACTCAGGCTCTCCTTCTCTGAAGACACTTCAACAGAAAACACTGATTCCATGCCACTGATTTCATCTTTTGTCTATCAAAAATGATTGTAGGAAGGGAAGGAACAGAATCCCAAAATTTGTGTACATATATTCAAGAGATTATTCTTTCTACTTAAACATGTTTTCTGTAAAGAATATATGCAAAAGGCCAAAAGCTAAAAGATACTAACCTTCACTGATCATTAAGGAAATGTCAGTCACAACTACAGTCATTCCTCAGAAACCCCCTTCCTTCAGAGTCTGAGAAGAGTGGTACATCCTAAGCATGCCTCAGTGCACTTCCTGTCAGGGCTGTGCCTCTCATAAGCACACAGCCCTGGGCATGGCAAGCTGTGCAATTCCATTTCTTAGCACAGTTTTCTCTGTCAGGCTTTCTACTGTTAGCAACGCAGTGGCTCCCTTTGTAGTTTCTTAAAATTTGTTCACAGAGAGGATAAAGTCAGTCAAGATGAGCAAGAGAGTGAAGAGATTGAACGACTGAGATAGCCCATCGAAGTTAACTACTGAGATACAGCCCCAGCACAGCAGTCCATAGAAGCCAAACTGTGAAAACAGTGAGGTTCTCAAAAAAGTAGATCCATAAAAGAAAACAAAAGCAAAGACAACCACCATCTTCCCTTAAAATAGAGATGGCGAGAAATAATCATTTAAAAATTAGTGCACCTATGGGGTAAGCAATAAAGATTTTGCATGCGCTATCTCATTTAATTATTTAATTTGGACTACACTCAGAGACCACACAGCTAAGGCTTAGAAAGGGAAAGTAACTTGGCCATCATACACAGTTTGTACCTGATAGACTAGGATTCAGACCCTCATATCTTGACTAGAGGATCACATGGCTGTTGCCCAAGTCACCCCTGTCCTTATGTGCTTGGAAATCGAGGTGTGGGGGCTGGCGAGAGTGAGAGAGCTTAGGTTAATGGGAGGAACGGAGAACAGGAGCACAGATCACAGAAAACGTCATCTCTTTTCCCTCCTGTTCCCTTCTCTTTCTAAACAATTTGGTCCTGATGCATTGGTGGGAGACAGAGAGGTCAGAAAGGAGGTGGGGATGCACCCCGAATAAAGTCCAAGGAAGGCAGAAGAGTTTCCTTTGCTCATGTCACCACCTGTCAGCTCAGGCTCTCATATCACTTCCCGTGTCTCCAATCTGGAGAGGTGGTCAGGGTTGTGGTGAGAGTGGCAAAAGGCATGGCAACCTGAGTTTCCGCCTCAGAACCCACGTGGTCGGAGAGAACCAACTCCTACTAGTTGTCCTCTGCCTTCCACAAACATAAATAAATAGGATAAAAATTTAAACTTTTATCATTGAATCACATGGAATCTCCAGGAGAAAGGAAGAACAGAGCTTGTAGAGAGTAGTAGGTAGAAGAGGAAGTGGAGAGACCTGGTCAAGGAAAGGAAAGTCCAAGAGCAATGTGACTGTGCAACTGTCCATGGTCTCATCTGTAAGGACCATCAAACCTTACCTCAAGGGCAAGCCACAATCCTGTGTTGGAAATGAAGTTTGGAACTTGCTGTGTGATGTTCTGTATGTTAAATGTATTGCTCTGATTGGTTAATAAATAAAACACTGATTGGCCAGGAGCCAGGCAGGAAGTATAGGTGGGACAAGGAGAGAGGAGAATTCTGGGAACAGGAAGGCTGAGTCAGAGAGAAGCTGCCAGCTGCCATGATGAGAAGCAGATGTTAAGATACCAGTAAGCCACGAGCCATGTGGCAACTTATAGACTAATAGAATGGGTTAATTTAATATGTAAGAACTAGGTAACAAGGAGCCTGCTGTGGCCATACAGTTTGTAAGCAATATAATAAGTCTCTGTGTGTTTACTTGGTTGGGTCTAAGCAGCTGCGGATTGGCGGGTGAGAGAGATTTGTCCTGACTGTGGGCCAGGCAGGACTGGAGAAAACTCCAGCTACAGGAACTCACTTCAGTTTGAACTTCTTCCTTTTCATGATGAAGCTTTTGTCAAAGAAACAAATACAGAAAGTAAGATATTATACAGAGGAAGCTAATTTCATTTCTATACCTTCTATTTCATATGTTGAGGTCTAAGCTTTAGAGTCTTTTAACTACGCCAGATGGGTTTTTATGGTTTGGATGTTTCGTGCCCTCAATGGGATCATGTGTTACAGACTTAAAGATTGGACCATGAGAGCTTCAGTGTAATCGACGGTTAATCTGCCAGTGGATTTATAATTTGATGGCATCACTGTGAAGTGGGGGCAACTTTCAGAAGCTGGGCCGACTACATGGAATAGATCCCAGGGGATGTGTTAGGGAGCTGTAGCTTGTCCTGGGGGTCTTCCTCTTTTTCTTTCTTGTTCTCTTTTTCCTTCTCCAACCACCATGAAAGGTGAGCATCTTTGCTCCATTCTGCTACCCTGTCTGGGTGTCATCAGAATGGGCTGTTGGAATCCAGTTGCTGCTGCTGTTCCTCATTCACCTTGGTCACTGCATGTGTAAGCATATGTATTATATGCTTATGTATGTGTGAGAAGGTATGCACATGTAACAGGGTTTCTCACTAAAGGTGGAGCTCATTGATTCAGCTATACCATCTGGCCAGCAAGCGTTAGAATCTTCCTGTCTGGCTCCCTGGCTCTGGGATTACCGGTACATGCCACTGGACCTGGCTTTTTACATGTGCTCTGGGGATCTGAACTCAGGTCTTCATGCTTATGTGTAAAGTACTTTACTTTACTTCCCAGCTTCCTCATCATGGTCTTATGTGATTGGAACCCAAACTAATAATTGGTCTGAAACTGCTTCTATGGCCAAGGAAGCTATAAGGTAAAGGAAGTAATACAGATTATGCTACTTAGATTGTACTTAACTGCTGTAGGCGGTCTTTTCTTTCTTGCCTGCCAGTTTCCAAATAACTGACACAGAGACTCAATATTAATTATACTCAGCCCAAAGCTCAGGCTTATTACTAACTAATTCTTACAACTTAAATTAACCTATTTATATTAACCTATATATTGCCACCTGGCTCATGGCTTTACCTGTCTTCCAGTATGTCTTGCTTCCTCTGCATCTCCTGGCGACTCCTCTGATTCTACCTTTCTTCTTTCCAGCATGCTCTCTGCCCCCAAACCCCTGCCTAGCTATGGGCCAGTCAGCTTTTTATTAACAATGAGAGCAATACATTTTCACTTTGTACAGAAGGATTATTCCACAGAAAACTGCTATTGAAATTTGTTCCTATGGTTACTTGAAGCTTTTTATTTATACCTTCTGTTAAGATTAAGAAAGCCCAATATGAAAGTATCAGAACTTATATCAGAGACTTGGAAGGTCTCAGAATGAGGTGGCTCATCTGTTAAAGATGCCGATGGCCTGAGTTGATTCCTGCGACCCACATGGTGGAAGGAGAGAATTGACACCCACAAGTTACCTTCTGACCCCTACATGCACTCCATGGCAGGTGTGTATGCACACACACACACACACACACACACACACACCCCACATTAAATAAATAAAACATTTTAAATGTGTAGATGATAGCACAGAAGAGCTACACATAGATTCAGGGCAGGAAAATTCAAAGTAAGCATTGGGTTGTATAAGTACCATTTTTCTTCTTTTTTTTAGTGGCTCATAGTACTTTATAATATCTTAGACTTCAGGAAATAAAGCACTCAATTCTTGCTCATTCAGAGCTGGATGACAGAGTACACATCTTTGAAACAAAACCACTCCAAGAAAGTGAAAACATCACTTGTTAGAGGTTATGTCTTATGTTTGCAGATACTTGCTAATCAGTAGATGCCACATTGCCGCTAGGATCAGGAATGTCCCTTCCCAGTGTGGTCACTGTGGCCTCTATGATACCCTTAATGTAAGAACAGAGGCTGTGTAGATGGCTCGATGGGGAAGTGTCCTTGCTATCCAATCCTAGCTGCTGTGTAAAAAGCTGGCCATGCGGTGCATACTTATAACCTCAGTGTTGGAGTCAGAGACAGGAAGATTTCCAGAGCTTGCTGGCTAGCCAGCCTAGCAAGCTTCTGGTTCAGTGAGAAATCCTGCCTTAAATGACAAGGCTGATAGAAATAGAGGAAGACACCTCACTTTCCCTCTAACCTCTGTGTGCATACATACACATAGGCATAGGCACCCATCCACCATGTGCATCACACACACACACACACACACACACACACACACACACACACACACCCCTAAAGTCAAAATGAAAAGTTATTTAAAAACAATCCCACTTGAGGGACGGGTATATCTAGAACTCAGGCCATAGAGAAAGAAGAGAGGA